TTGGCGAGAATGGAGTGAAGCTGATTAAAAGTGGTGTCACAATTGCTGAAAACTCAGGTGCGTACGATATGCCAGTAATTGAATTTAAAGCATATAAAATTAATAAAGAAATAAGAATTTTATATAAATTCTTATGGCATGAAAGGCTGGGACATGTAAGCAAAGGGAAAATGTTAGAAATAAAAAGAAACAATTTATTTAGTGATAATAATCTTCTTGATAGTGTTAATCCTACCGACGATATATGTGAAGCTTGTTTGAATGGGAGACAAGCAAGATTACGTTTTGATAAATATAAAAATAAAGAGCATATAAATAGAGCTCTTTATGTTATTCATTCTGATGTCTGTGGTCCGATAACTCCAACAACTATTGACGATAAAAATTACTATGTAATTTTTGTAGACCAGTTTACTCATTATTGTGTCACTTACTTAATAAAACATAAATCGGATGTGTTTAATATGTTTAAAGATTTTGTGGCAAAAGCGAAGCACACTTTAATCTTAAAATTGTTAATCTATACATTGACAATGGTAGGGAATATTTGTCTAGTGACATGCGTGAGTTCTGTGTTCAGAAAGGAATAAGTTACCATTTAACTGTACCACATACTCCACAGTTAAATGGAGTTTCAGAACGAATGATCAGAACAATTACTGAAAAGGCTCGTGCCATGGTGAACGGTGCAAAACTAGATAAATCTTTTTGGGGTGAAGCTGTGTTGACAGCAACGTATATAATAAACAGAATTCCAAGTAGGGCACTTATAGATCGTGCAACAACTCCTTATGAGATGTGGCATAATAGAAAGCCGATTTTGAAATATTTAAAAGTATTTGGCTCGACTGTGTATGTACACAATAAAATTAGAAAACAGAAGTTTGAAGATAAATCGTTTAAAACTATATTTGTCGGATACGAACCAAATTGTTTAAAATTATGGGATATTGAAAATGAAAAATTCATGGTTGCTAGAGATGTAATTGTAGATGAGACAAATATGGTTAACTCTAGAGCTGCCAAAAGTGAAATCCTGAATGATAGTAAGGGCAATGAGAATATTATATTCCTGAAAGAGAGTAAGGAAAGTAATCTCCTGAATGAAAGTAAGGAAGGTGTTGAATATAATTTCCAGAATGAGAGTATGGAATGTTGTGAAAAAGAAATCCTGAATGAGAGTAAGGATTACGAGAATGAGAATTTCCAGAATGAGAGTATGGAATGTTTTGATCGAGAAATCCTGAATGAAAGTAAGGATAGTGATAAAGACAGTTTCCTGAATGAGAGTAAGGAAGATAAACAGCCTAGAAAAATGTCAACAAACGAAATCGCTAATAAAGTTACTGAAGAGGTAACTAGAAGAAGCGATAGATTAAAAAATAAACCATCCATATCCTATAATGAAGATGAAATAAATCTAAATAGTTTTATAATGAATGCACTTACTGTTTTTAACGAAGTGCCTAGTTCATTTGATGAGATGCAAAGTAGAAAAGATAAGTCGTTATGGGAAGAAGCCATTAAGGTCGAACTTTCTGCTCATGAATTAAATAAGACATGGACTATTGTTAAGAGACCACAAAATAAGAATATTGTAGACTGTAAGTGGGTATTTACTTTAAAGCATGATGAAATGGGAAATCCAGTTAGACATAAAGCAAGATTAGTTGCACGTGGTTTTACACAAAGATATCAAATAGATTATGATGAAACGTTCGCTCCTGTTGCTAGAATTTCTAGTTTTCGATTTATTTTATCCATTGCAAACCAGTATGATTTTAATATACATCACATGGATGTCAAAACTGCTTTTCTTAATGGAACACTGAAAGAAGAAATATACATGAAAGTCCCTCAAGGAATTGTTTGCAATTATGAAAATGTATGCAAATTGAGAAATTTAGAATGACTGATTTGGGCGAAATACGATACTTTATTGGTATGAAAATAGAGATAGGCCAAGATGAGATATCTTTAAGTCAGTCTGCTTACATTAAAAAGGTGTTAAGTAAATTCAATATGGAAGAATGCAAATCAGTAAATACTCCGCTCCCGAGTAAGCTGGATTATGAATCGTTGGATTCTGACAATAAACATGAGGCTCCGAGTCGTAATCTTATTGGTAGTCTAATGTACATAATGCTTTGTACGCGTCCTGATATAGCCACTGCCATTAATATCTTAAGTAGATATACCAACAAAAATAATATAGAACTATGGCATTGTCTAAAAAGAGTTTTAAGATATTTCAAAGGAAATATTAATATGAAGTTAATTTTTAAGAAAAATTTAAATTATGAACATATATTTGCTGGCTATGTTGACTCAGACTGGGGAGGAAATGAAAATGACAGAAAAAGTACAACTGGTTATCTTTTTAAAATGTTTAATTCAAATTTAATTTGTTGGAATACAAAGAGGCAGAATTCTGTAGCAGCTTCATCCACTGAAGCAGAATACATGGCCTTGTTTGAAGCTGTAAGAGAAGCTTTATGGCTTAAGTCACTCTCAGAAAGCATAAACATAAAACTTGACAAACCAATAAAAATATATGAAGATAACCAGGGTTGTATTAGCATAGCCAGCAATCGCTCTTGTCATAAGAGATCAAAACATATTGATATTAAGTATCATTTTTCGAGAGAGCAAAAAGAGAATAATATTATTTCTATTGAGTATATTTCTTCAGAAAAACAGCTGGCAGATCTCTTCACTAAACCATTACCTCCTGGAAGATTTGTGGAAATAAGAGGAGAATTGGGATTACACCAAGAAGACTAATTTCAACAACAACAACGATAAAGAAACAACGAGAACAAATTTTTAAACAACAACTACGAAGAAACAACGAGAACAAAATTATTTTGAACAACGACGATGAAGAAATAACGAGAACTAATTTCTTGAACAACGATGAAGAAACAAGAACTAAATTTTTTTGAACAACAATTAAGAAACAACGAGAACTAATTTTATGTACAACTAAGATGAAGAAAGAAAAAAAAAAAAAATTTTGTTGATATACTATTTATGTTCTTTCCTAAAAATTTAAATTTCATTTGTCAAATATGATATTTATGAAACTGAAGTTCCTTATTTAAATTTTAATATTTTATTCTTATATCATTATTCCTAAAATTACCTAATTTCTAAAACAAAAAAAAAAAAAAAAGGATATATATTGAAGTCACAAATATTAATTTAAGTATATATACAAATTATATTAAGGATATTGATCTGATTGGGTTTTATCTGGGTTTCCCCAATCCTCGCAGCAAATGCTGGATCAATTATGTAATACTCCCCAGAAGACACACCAGTCACATTAAATGAAAAATAATTTTATTTTATATATATGTAATAGTAATATAACGTAATTTTTGAGGGGGCGTGTTGGATATAACATAGCAAAATCCCCTAATGCCATGTTAAACAAAAATTACCATAAAAGTATTTTTGTATGAGGAATGTACGGCCACACTGGCTTGACCTCTTTCTCTTTCCTTTTTGATCTTGAACGTGGCTGGTCGTGTGTGCGTAAGAAATAAAACAATAATCAACTAAAATATCAAACATCATAAAGTGAAAATATATAATTTGTTTGTGATTGGTCTGGGAAGGGTTGGAGTAACAATTAAGCGTATTATTTCAATATATTTATTAACCCAAAAAAAACGACACTTTGGTTTGGTCTTGTACAGGTAAATCGCTACCTGGCAGGTGTCCATTTTTTTCACCTTTTTCTGCCTAAAGTAGTCTATAACTTCTTTATATAACTTTCATCGGCTGCGTCGGTCGAGCTGCGTCTGCGAAAATGCAACGACATAAACCAAAACTACTCAGGGTGAAATATACCAAAATACCGACACAATTTCATACATTCCAAGAAATATACTAACTGTAGCGCGTGGCGGTTACACTTTGAATTAAAAAAATTTTTTTTTTACAGTTTTCAAATTATTTTTATTTGAGCAAATACATAAAAATAAACATAAAAAATTAAATAAAAAATATTTTTTAAAAATTGTTTTCATTGAAAAAAAAATATTTTTTCACTTTGATACACTTTAAAAAGGCGTATTTGTGGGCGTGGTACATTATGCAGTACATATATACATTTTACAGCAATTACCTGTCTAATGCCGTTTAAATTATTCGATTACCTTATTTGGTTCAAAAGATATGATTTTTGCAACGCTAAATGAGAAAAGGCGCTACTGTGCGCCGGGACATTTTGGAAACTGTTGTGCTTCCTTGGGCCCAGCAGCACTTCGGTGATACGGAGGGGACGTTTCAACAGGATTCAGCGCCAGCCCATAGAGCCAAATTGACTCAGGACTGGTGCAAAGCCAATTTTTCGGACTTTATCATATCCAGTGAATGGCCACCTTACTCGCCAGATCTTAATCCGATGGACTACAGTGTGTGGTCTATTTGGAGTCCAGGGCATGTGCTAAACGCCGCATAAGTTTGGAGGCGCTGAAGCAATCATTGCTCCAAGAATGGGATCGATTATCGGAAGAAGACCTGTGGCCCATTGCGCTAAATTTCCAGAAACGTTTAGGGCTCTGCATCGCAGCCCAAGGAAGTCACTTCGAAACCGGCTGAATATATGTTAACACAATAGCTATTTAATAGTTGTGTATCTGCATTTTTTCTCAGATACAGTTCCTTAAAATTATGATCAAAAATGTTTGTCCGGGTTATTTATTGTCATCCTCTATTACTGCTACTTGATCGACGATTGACGATTTTTATGCTTGGACTTGATCCCTCGACGACTACTCCGGCTGACGACTACTCTGGCTCTGGATTCCAATTTATACGACTTTGATTTTTTTCCGTACCACCCCATCATTGTTCTTTTCCGCGCTAGTGACTTCTTCCTTACCCTAGGGATGTACCTCCGAGACTGTTGCCCACTTATCGACTGCCAGGCACGTCGGCAACTATCGATAGCCCCGATTGCACTTTACACGAATAAATACAATAAATGCTTAAATGAAGTATTGTATGATTTTATTATATGATGTGATTTTATACAATAGTATAAAATGTGAATAGTAACTGTAAAAGTTGCTCGCTTAGCTTCCAATTTTTTCAATGTCGTCGGCACTGTCAGTATTGAGAATTTTTATTTCTTTTTTAAAATGTTTTTCAATAGCAGAGCATACGCTCATACTTTTTTCTCCATCTATAAGATTTATAGCGATTCCAGACTTTCCTATAAATAAAATACAAAAACCAAAACGTATTAGTATTAATAATAAAAAATATTAAGAAACAAAAATAAAATGTTTCTTCGGTATACCCAAGTTTGAAATTATATTCATTTCGGTCAAATGTTTACTCGAGTCTCGATCTATGTATGGTTAGATTTAAAATGAGAAAACTCTAAAGATCGTTGATCATATTAATTTTTTCATTATAAAAAAAAAATGTATCTGATCGGTTGTTTAAAGACTTGGGAAGATGCCGATGACAATCAATCAAACTCGACTGAAGCTTTTTTAATGATTTTTCTTGAAATTATGTGATCGTTTCAATAGCAATAATCGTCTGATCTAGTCTTTTCAGACTTATATACCTACTGCAATAGAAAGAAGTCATAGTTCAGACACCTAAAAAATTGAGAGAAAAGTAACGCATAGTAACCAACATATGCCTGCATATTTTTTTAAAATTTTTTATTTTATAGGCTCAATATCTTAAGAATATTGTTGTCCAAGTTTTACATCGATCATAGGAAATTTGACGAAGTTATGCAGACTTTAACGAAGGTCGGTTAGTGTTCAATGCATGAGCATCACGTTACAAATTTTGAAAATCGGTGTACACGATAACTCAAAATCTACTGAACCAATCCGTTTGAAATTTGAAACATAACTTCTTTAGGTAATTCTACAAGTACTCACGTCGAGCTTTTTCAATTTTTAATTTTATTATATTTTTAATTTAACAAATTAACTTAATTTTTTAGTAAGAAATCGGGGTTTCGACTTAAAATGTTTATTAAAAATCGTGAAAATTTGTAAAAATAAAAATGCCACACGAGTACCTCCAGACACTTATCTATTAACGAATGAGGTATAATTTCTTTAGATCGGATGATTTTGTGGACAGTTACAACCTAACTAACTAACTAATCTTAACACCGCAAACCAATTTTTTTTTTGAGGCGACTCGGGAAATTTCCTATTACTTCTCTACCTCTAAATATTTTCCAATACAAAATTTATCAAACATCGTTCAAATGTTGTGTTATTATATAGTATTTAATTCATTAAGCTAACTTTAGCCGTTTCGCACCAAAAATAATTTTTTGAAAAGTCGCCCGTTTTGCACAGAATTAACATTAACAAAATCAGGTACACGAACAAATAAGCGGATTGTCTGCTAACCCGTAAACATGCTACACATAAATGTTCCTTCTAATGACACAGTTTGTTTATATTTCGAAGAATGCCTACTACGGAGGCCACCTTGCTCCAATTTTTCGTTGGTAATCCTGCAACGTCCAAGGAAATTTAATTTTTATTATATAGTAGTAGCTTCATTTTTATTTATTACCCATTCAATGGATTTGATTAGATCTTTGTTCTTTGCTAATGTCTGCCCAATGAATGATGTCCATTTGGAATCAACCATTATAATTAAGAATGTGTATCAAGTTAGCATGGCTATTTTGAATTATCAAGCTTTTGATACCATAATTTGTTGATTAATATCCGTTAATTAGTCAAGCAAAAATCCTCCATCTGAACCATCTCCAAGGGCGCCGACTGGGAAATGGGCACTGTATTAACCCGGATACAGGTAATGAATCGCTGCTTGCTCCGTCTGCGATAATACGGTGTCTAGACAAGGCTACGGTTCAACTTCTTCTGCCCTAAAAAGCCGAAGGAAGTGAGCCATGGCTGGAGGTGCCTGGCGGACGGCATAGAACGCAAGTGGGCGGTACCCCTGAAAAATAAACCATTCTGAAGAGTTTAAATGATGAAACCATGGCTGGGATGTCAGCCCAAACGTCGGTGGAAGGGGTGACCGCTACCACCGGCGGGCACGCGGGGGAGCAATCCTCTTTGCGTGTCGCCAGCGGTTACACTTCTGACGTGACGGGAGCAGGTCATGTCAGTTGCAACGCTACTGCCGAAAAAACTACGCAGGGAAAGTTGAATCGCTCACGTGCCATAGTCGATACAGACTCGGACCTTGAGGTCTCCAAAGAGAAGAAAGAAAATGTGACGCCTGTAGGCGCACAATATATATGCGATAGAATAAAATAGAAACACTTAGGGACATAAGAAATGGATTGGCAACATTATGGAGATAATTTGAATTGAATGCGCGCGAGCGCCACTGATCGTGAAGGAGGGTCACACTGTACCGAACGGAGGCTGGCCACACTATTCGGGGAAAATCTCGCACAGGACTCTGGCCACACTGAAGCCTCGCCAGGGCCTATATAAAGCGGACCACGGCCCTGGAGTAATGACTTAGCAGCCGACTGCGATTGGGTCGAGTTAACCTCCCCAGTAGTTAGCAGCGAAGTCACTTTTTGGGAACTCAGGTTCCTATTTATAAATCGTAGTTAGGATCTCTGCTGACTTTCGAGTCCGAGTCTCTCGGCTGACTTGCGAGTCCGAAACACTGCCGACTTTCGAGTCCGATTCTCTCTGCTGACTTGCGAGTCCACAATACTGCCGACTTTCGAGTCCACAATACTGCCGACTTTCGAGTCCACAATACTGCCGACTTTCGAGTCCGATTCTCTCTGCTGACTTGCGAGTCCAATCTCTGCCGACTTTCGAGTCCGAGTCTCTCGGCTGACTTGCGAGTCCGAAACACTGCCGACTTTCGAGTCTTATTCTCTCTGCTGACTTGCGAGTCCAAAATACTGCCGACTTCAGAGTCCCATTCTCTCTGCTGACTTTCGAGTCCGAATCTGCAGACTTTCGAGTCCAAACGTCTTCGAGAAGACTTTCGAGTCCAACAAACGGCGCTGAGCCGACTGTCGAGTCCGACAACTACTGGGTTCGGTTGACTTCCGAGTCCGAACGCATTCTCTCGTGGAGGACTTTCGAGTCCGAACGCATTCGCTATTGGGTGGCTTTCAAGGCGGGACTATCGGCACCCCCTATCGGACAGCCGCACTCGGGACGAGGAGGACGAATCGGAACTACGGCGTACCCCCAGAATCGAGATCCGGCATGAAATTATTGAAATTGTACCTTTTAAGTAAATAAACATTAAGATACATTTACGGCATAATCCTCTAGCGTTCTACTCTGGGACGGGGTCGGAATCTCTTACAGCAACCACGCCTGAACCAAATAAATATAACTGCACAGACCCTGGACGTCCCGCTGACTACCCGTGGACGACAGGACGTTACAGATTGGCGCCCGAACAGGTTGAAGTGGTTGCAAGAGATCGACACCAAGAGTAATGGCTAGCAGGCAGATTTAAGAAAGAGGCAGCAAGACCGTGAGCCAGAGCAACGACCACAAGGAAATAGTCGAGGATTGTAATAGCTGGACGGACGCAAAGCTAAGAGATACAATCATGGAGTGGAAGAGAAGCGTGGAGATCCTGGATCAAATGATGAGCTGGGAAATACGATACGATGGGAGGACCAACCCGCTGGAGTTTATCCGGAAGCTGGAAGGTTGGGCGACTGGATACGGCATCGGGCACGACCAGTTGGTGCAAACTATGCCCTTCATCCTGGAAGGCGCGGCGAACGATTGGTGGAGCTGCACACCAAATAAATTGGACAGTTGGGAGAAAGTGACGGGAGAGCTGGTGGAGTACTTCTTACCGCGGAGGTATCAGGAGGAACTCAAGGAGCAAATCCAGCATCGGAGGCAAGGAGAGACCGAATCAGCGAGAGGGTTCGCAATGCAGCTGATGGAAATGATGAGTTTTGCGGAGTATACGGCGGAGGAAAAGTTGAACCGCATATATCTGAATTGCCGAAGCCAAATAAAACTGTACACGAGAAGATCGGGGTTCAAAACACTTCCCGATTTTCTCAAAATGGCAGAGGTAGTCGAGATGATCGAAGCAGAAAGTTTCGATCAACCACAACACAGACTCGACCCAGAGATCTGCATGGAGTCCGACGGGGGGCCTTTTAAAATAGACCCCAAAACCATCGACTGCTGTGAGACGGCATGAAACCGAGCGGGCACACAGGCCAGGCGGTTTCTGCCCAATGGTACACACTGGAAGGTGGAGAGGCCGAGGTGTGCATTAGGGCAGCCGTTGGGAAGGAGGTTACCGAGGAACTAGAGGAATCCGACATGGTGAACCAACAATGCCTGGAGGGGAGTGTGACACCTGTAGGCGCACAATATATATGCGATAGAATAAAATAGAAACACTTAGGGACATAAGAAATGGATTGGCAACATTATGGAGATAATTTGAATTGAATGCGCGCGCGCGCCACTGATCGTGAAGGAGGGTCACAATGGACCGAACGGAGGCTGGCCACACTATTCGGGGAAAATCCCGCACAGGACTCTGGCCACACTGAAGCCTCGCCAGGGCCTATATAAAGCGGACCACGGCCCTGGAGTAATGACTTAGCAGCCGACTGCGATTGGGTCGAGTTAACCTCCCCAGTAGTTAGCAGCGAAGTCACTTTTTGGGAACTTAGGTTCCTATTTATAAATCGTAGTTAGGATCTCTGCTGACTTTCGAGTCCGAGTCTCTCGGCTGACTTGCGAGTCCGATTCTCTCTGCTGACTTGCGAGTCCACAATACAGCCGACTTTCGAGTCCACAATACTGCCGACTTTCGAGTCCGATTCTCTCTGCTGACTTGCGAGTCCAATCTCTGCCAACTGTCGAGTCCGAGTCTCCTCGGCTGACTTGCGAGTCCGAAACACTGCCGACTTTCGAGTCTGATTCTCTCTGCTGACTTGCGAGTCCAAAATACTGCCGACTTCAGAGTCCGATTCTCTCTGCTGACTTTCGAGTCCGAATCTGCAGACTTTCGAGTCCAAACGTCTTCGAGCTGACTTTCGAGTCCAACAAACGGCGCTGAGCCGACTGTCGAGTCCGACAACTACTGGGTTCGGTTGACTTTCGAGTCCGAACGCATTCGCTTGTGGATGGCTTTCAAGGCCCATACCCTGGCGGGACTATCGGCGCCCCCCTATCGGACAGCCGCACTCGGGACGAGGAGGACGAATCGGAACTACGGCGTACCCCCAGA